AGACATATCGTGTGTGCCACAGAATACTACACAGGAAATAATAGAGGCCAATATTTGCTTGTTCTCTTCGATTGTTTTTTGGTGGAAACTTTGAACTTGAATGTCCACAGGTATATTTTCGAGAAAGGCCTTTGCAGCAGCAGATGCAGATTTGTGAAAGTTATTGGTGGCATGTTTACGACAATCTTCGTGCATATTCCTAAACTTCGTAAATGGTCTGATCATAAATGAACCTAACACTCCCCTTACTGTGCCAGTAGAAGGAGGAAATAAAACACAGTGCTTACACAGAGCACCAATTAGTCGCTTGGAATACACTAACCATGGTGTGTATTGATCTAACCAAGCATAATTAAATTTTCTTCGCAAATGATTGGCATCGGCTGCAAAATCGTAATTCTTGGGTGGAACCCACGGATCTTTTAACAACTCTTTTTTTCTTTCCATCGTCAGGTGAAATGTTTGTCCTACATAACGACCCAAGTCATTTTCGTGGCAACCATCATCCTCTTCAATTTCGGGATTGACTACAGAGCCAGATGTTGACGGTAAAGATTCTAAATTAAGAGCAGTGACTTTCTTAGATCTCAAAGAATTTAGCGGTTGCTCAGATTCAGATTCAGTTTTAGATGGGCTTGGCGATGAAATTTGATCATTGTTATCATCGCTCCCGCTGCTACTGTCATGTTCTTTTTTCCTCTTGAGAGTTTTAGTAGCTGCAAAACACAATAATGCCGCTATTAGTATTTTATACAGTGTGAGTGATATCCATGTTAGTGTTTTGTTTAACATGTAACATGGAAAAAAACATTTTGTTTTTTTTAATTGGAATTTACAGATATTACACAAATGTCGTCGAATGTAACTTACTAACTGTAACTTACCTGTTTGAAAAAATTTCCTGATATCCATTTATCAGTGTGGAGATACCGAGATGCCCGAAATAGGTAGATTCAGCAGATTTTCCAATAAGTACTGTAACGTTTTTAGCGTGAACTTGTTCGACTACGATGTGATAAAAGCTGCCAATTAATTAAAACTATACTTTTATTAACACTTAACTAAAATTCACTCTGATTAATTTAACTAAACACACTAACTAGTTTATGTAACGCCTTGTATCTTGTATTTATTTATAAAAGTATTCTATTCTTCAACCCGGCACTGGCGAAATCTGCCCTCGCCGCCCGACATTGTTCCTTTTATATCCGAAGCGCCTGCTTCTCGAAGATTCTCTCCGCAGCACGTACGAAGCTTCGCGCTGCGTCTCGAGAATTCTCCACTCGGCCGGGAAGAGTCAGAGGCGGACTCAGGGTAATTTTCGTTACAGTACAATCTAATATAAATTTCTGACAATGTTTACTAGTGTAACCTAGCCTAACTGCTAACAACATAGCATAGACGTTTATCAACAACTAAGTAAATTAAGTTTACTTGCAGTACTTGCACAAACAAATTAACATTGAATAACAAATGAAAATAACCGAATTCCGTTAGAAAAACAACACAATACAACAAATTCGCAGGGGCCAGGATCGTAATAGAAAATTCATATTTCTTTGCTAATTCCGCTAATTGCAAATCTAGTAGGCTGTGCAGTGCGCTGCGTTTGACTTACGTAGGTATATGAATATATTTTAGTAGTATATTTTTCGGGTTTGTAATTTTTTTAGTAAAACCATAGTGGTTTATTTTGATTTTTTTATTTTCTGCACTTAGCGGAGCCTTTTTATAATTTATAAAAAAATTTAGGGGGGGGGCAGCTGCCCCCCCTGCCCCTCGCTGGGTACGCCCTTGAGCACAGCATCTAAAGTACAGATTACGAGTGTTATTTGTAACACAATTTAGCAACGCATGAGAGAAACAATAGGGAACAATCATATTTTTCAAAGTATTTTTTTTCTTATTGCTTATGTTTTCAAATATAAAATGTATATGTTTTTTTTTTGTTTCATGTCCTCATTGAAATAAAAAAATTATTTTGAATTTCAAATTATTTTCGTTGGCGCGAAAACGATTAGCTTCAAGATGGTGGCATTTGTGACGTCAACTGTCTGTAAACACAACGTTAAGGTCTGTTCTCACAAGAGCCTTTGATACTTTGCAAACTGTCGGAAAGAATCGCTTAGCTTGAACCTTCGACTGCAGTGAAACTTGAAAGCGGTTATTTATGCGGTATTTCCATATTTAGTGCCATATTGTGACATTTTGTGTTTCAAATAGTTCATCATGGTTGATACAGGATTTACAAAAGCGCAGTCTGACAATCTTCCCTCTATAGACCCGTTTATGGTGGTTCAATATCAGTCGTGGCGTGACGTGAGCTGATCGTGGACCAATCGTTCCACGATTCAAGAGTGGACCACGATAGTGTGGACCGTGGAATTGCGATCAGTGTAAACTACCCTTAACCTTAAATTACGAACAGTTGACGTCACTGGAAGCGGCCATGTTAAACGTAACTTTTTCGCGCGAAACTTTTCTTCAATTTAAAACTAATAATTGCCATATGATTAAAATGTCCATAAATTTAATACAAAACTGCTCATATTCAATATTTTACACAAAAATGTGCACCATAAAAACAAAATAAGCCATATTTATTTCTTATGAAAATTCCCTATTATGTAAGTTTTATTGACCACTACTCTCATTTTTGTATTGTTTATTTAATTGTTCAGAAAAGTGAGGTAACACAAAAATTCCAAAAATTTATAAATATGACTTTCTCCAAATTTGAAAGAAAAATAGAAAGATGACAATGATGGGGAATATATTTCTAGAAATTTTAAAAATCTATGCAAATATCATGGCATATAGATTCAATGCACCGTTGTGAGAAATCCCCAACACAACAAAATGGCGTTGCAGAAATTTAGGGAACTTGCACATTTTTTTTTTAATTTCAAAAATGTGTTGCACTACACTAAAGACATAGTCATGCCAAATATCGAGCATTAAAAATCAGCGTTAATTTTTTATAAATATTTGAAGTTACGCTCGAAACATCGCCATTTGAAACGACCGATTAGTGTGACGTCACTCAGCAACAAAATTCCGTTCACAGTCCTTGGTTGACAGTGTCCTGCGAGCAGGTAGATTTAGATTATGGTTATGTTGAAATGTATGCCGTTTATGCAATGAACATGACATTGACAACACCAGCAGCACATGGTGTGGCAGCGGTGCGACCTGATTATTACTGCCCTTTGACGTCAGGACCCATAGAAATACGTTTTTGATCTTGTCAAGAATTTCGAATTATTTGGTATTTTCAATTGAAGATTTTGAAAACCAGAGATAAGATATTATATCCTTTTCCTAATTGGATCATTTATTAGGATGATTGTTATTGTATTTTATTATTTATTTCATATTTAATTTAATGTGCAAGTTCCCTATTATGAATATTGCAAGATGTTTGATTTTGGATTCAAATTTATCAAAAATCTTTTGAAGAGAAGCTGTGAGATGTGCTGTTTACTTATTGAATCGTACAGGAACAAGTGTATTATCAAATAATATAACCCCTGCAGAAATTTGGTATGGATATAAACCAGATCTCAACAAAATTAAACTTTTCACCTGCGAAACATATAACTTAATCCCAAAAGAAGATAGGAAAACTAAACTCGATGTTCGAAGCAGAAAGATGATTATGATAGGATAGTCTGATAACGGATACAGGCTGTGGAACCTAGAAGAAAATAAAATAGTTCATGCAAAAGATGTAGTTTATAATGAAAATATGAATCAGAGGAATTTAACAGACATATGTATACATAAATGAATTGAGTCGACAGAATGAGACAGCAGAAGATTTTAAGGAAAATTTGGAAGAAGAAAATTTTAAAAAAATAGATGTAATTGGGAAAACAGAAAAGTTAAAAATAATAAGTAATGAAAACAATAAATACAACCTAAACTTTGAAGGAAATTTAATCAGCTGGAAATTTGATAACAGATGTACCACATGCCTATGAGGAAACAGTAAAGGACAGCGGATGGAAGACAGCGATAGAAGAAGAACTGAATTCAATGAAAAAGATGTCAACTTGGGAATTGGTATCACCTCCTCAATAACAAGAGATCATAGATTCGAAGTGGGTATTTCGGAAGAAAAATGTTAATGAAACAGAAGTTAAAAAGGCTTGTTTAGTGGCTCCTGGCTTTCTTCAGAGTGAACTCGATGAAAATGTATATGCGCCGGTCGCCAAAATGTTATCCATTCGTGTTTTTTTATGTCTCTATTTCGAGTCAGACATTTTTGTGCGACAGCTGGATGTCAATTCAGTCTTTCTTTATGGAGATCTTGAAAAACCAGTGTATATGCAGCAACCCAAGGGTCTTGACGGTAATCCAGACCTTGTATGTAAGTTAACCAAATCTTTATATGTCCTGAAACAGGCACCCAAATGTTGAAATAACCTATTTCACAAAACCATTACTGATTTTGGTTTACGAAGGTCTATGAATCTTTGCTTGTATTATAACAATTAGACTTTCCTTTTATTGTATGTTAATGACATAATTCTAATCTCAAAAAATTGAACATTTTTGTATGACATACCTCCACACTTTAATTATTTACTCAAAAACTATCCAAGACGCAAATATGAGATTTTGAGGAAATATTTTTGAGTCCTTGAGGCAAAGCATACCGAAAACTCAAATCAATTAAACAAAATATAACAAAGTTACTAAATTTCTAAAGTCGAACATTTTTGTATGAGATCCCTTTACATTTTAATTATTCCCTTAAAAACCACTCAGGGAGCAAATATGAGATTTTGAGGAAATTTTTTTGTTGTGTTTTCCAAAAAAATACCAATTTATGTAGCAACGAGGGCAAACATTGACTCGTAAAATTAGCATCAATCTAAAGTTATGGATTATTTGGTTTCGACTTATTTAATAAACATTAGTCTCAAAAGATTGATGGATGTTTCGAAGAAAAATATGCACTGTAGAGAAAAATGGGTTTTGTGTTTTGTACTTACATTGCACTCGAAAGTTGAGCTCGTCGCTGACAGTTTCCCCTTCGGAATTCACAACCGAACACCTGTAAACTCCGGCGCTTTGCTTAGTGACTTTTTGCAGCACCAGGCTCTGGTTGCTGTGTATAATCCGGTTCGACAAGTTGTGCGCCAGAAATATATCCTGAATAACGAAAAAGAAAAAGTAAGCAAGAATTCTATTGATATATTTAGTTTTATACTCACGTTGTGCAACCAAGTAAGTCGTCTCATTGGAGGGTTGGCTTTGACTTTGCATTCAAAGTAAACATCGTCGCCTTCTTTGATGTCGTCAGCGTTTAGGGTACTTCCAAGGGATAGATCAACTATGGGTGGAACTGAAAAATAGACAAAATTTGAAATTTATATTTTATAAATATATAATATATTATAAATGTTTCAAATATGTATTTCTCATCAACACGAGGAATAACATTATGAATTACTGTAGACAATTCAATCTTGAAAAAGATAATGTGGATAACTGTACGAATAAACAAATTCTTATCAAGAAAAAGTCTCCCGCAGTTGTAAAGCAGAAAAGTTACGACGGACTTGTAATTACATCCAGAGCTCTCTTGAGTGTTTGCAATTATCTAACGGAGTTAAAAACGAATCTCGTAATTTTTATTTTTTTTTTAGGAAACATGCGGTAAAGCCAAGAAAAAAAGTAGGTAGACCTTAATGATAATTATTATTACAATAAATATTATTTACGTTAAAAGTTCGAAAGATAAACTTTAATATAATTGATATGTTTATGGAATTTTTTGAACTATACTATTCATTAATGTACTCATACTTACAGACAACGTCGATTTTCCAAGAAGTTTCCAAAAAAAGACCAGTGACGTTCGGATTTTCAGCTCTGCAAGTTATAGATTTTCCATCGTCTTCCGTTGTCGGAACGAAACTTAGTTCGCTAATTGTTACATTTTCCATTGTGTCTTCCTAGAATATAATAGAGCCCATTAGATACTACTAAGTATAATAAAAAGAAGACTTCCTACTATTACTATTTTTCGCTTTAAATGCAACAATCGATAAAGAGAAGGCTGTCATTTTCGCGAATTAAAAAAAAAGCGCTGCCTCGTTAATTTAACTAAAGGGCTTACATCAGGCATTTTTTGAGGGGGTGCGAGTGGAAAAGTCATTACTTCAATGGAAATTAAATTTAATGTGACGTCTAATAATTTAAATGTACAATCTAATTATTTTTATAGCTTATTAATAGCTGAAAATGTCACTGTTTTTGGAAAATGATATCAGAGGGCGCACATAATGTATTTCTGAAATTGGTCCGTTTAAGATTATTTTTATAAGCAATTGGTTATGGGCCAAGTCTCCACCTCAGTATTTTCAAAATAAACCAAAAACACAAAATTTCAATACAAGTGCTCCATATGCACATCTATCAAAAGCACAGAATTTCAATACACTTGATCAATACACACATTATTTTGAAAATAGGAACACATTTGCATTAGAACCAATCTCACTGAGACTGAACAAAAAACAGCAAAAATCTCTGACCAATTTGCAGGTTTTTGGGAGAAAGTAAGTTTCTTTAAACTAGACCCTACCAAATCATTCTATACCTAGTATATTAACAGAAGTGCATCAGACTTTTGTTTTTGGTCGTAACTCTAAAACACCCTGTAGGAAAATTGAGGTGGAGAATTTTATTTACATACTGTTTCTTGTTATCTTTGATGTATTTCAAAAATTTGGATTTTTTGATTTATTCTATTATCTCGTTTCTGTTGCGTTCTGCAAATTTTTTTATTAAAATGCTGATTTGAAACCCATTTACATTAACAAAAACAAACAGTAGGTATATCATTAAGTTAATTAAGGGGGCGTTAATAACATTGAAATCTGTCAGCTTTTTCTAAAATCTGTTTTGGAATAGAAAAAAAAACCTCACATCAGAATTGGCTCATGCCAAATTTGAGACAATAATTCTCTTTCAAAACAGATTTTAGAAAATCTGAGAATAATGACAATAGGTCTGCTTCCACGAAAATCACATACCAGTGTTACGATAAATTTATCATTTAACTAACGTGTTCTATCTCTTTTAATTTTCATTATATCAGCAAAGTAATACAAAGTTCAATATAATATCAGTACCTACTGCCATCTATCCATCATGAACATTGTTTAATTGTCTTTGAAACTTGTGGACTGTATATTTTTCTTTTTGTTCAGCTCAAATTCGCCAAATTCGGGGAGGAAAACGGACAGGATTTTGAAATATTTCATTAATTTATTGACAACTTGACAACTCGTCAACTAAAAACTAACCGGTGCTAAAAGATACAGAGTTTTCAAAAGCAACTTGAATCAAACACAAATGTCGGGCTTTAACATACCGCCCCCCTTGAAAGTACCAAGTACTTCTCAACTAAATCGACACATATCGCTATCAAAGTTATAAAAATGAATGAATATAAAAACTAAATTAAATAAATATAAATACCTACAAATGTTTAGGTATTAATGTAAATTTCAATGTAGATTTCAACATTAATCAATATAAATAAAAAATACTAATTAGTACTATTCGTTAAAAAATATTTAAATAAATAAGAACATTCTAGCAACTGCATTAAAGTTCGAGTCGGAAAATGTTTCATGTAAAGGGTGTTTTTTTTAGAGGTTTGTTTTTCGATCTGGCAACACTGTTCCTAGTGACAGTAAATTTGAAAGGTGACAGCTCATTTTCGCTCATTATATCTTGCCATTTCAACATGAATAGACTCACGCCAGAACAACGCTTGCAAATTGTGCAAATTTATTTCGAAAGTCGTGGTTCAGTTCGGGAAACTTACCGTGCGCTACGTCCATTTTACGGTCGACATAATCGTCCATCCGAGCAAGTTATTCGGATGACCATGAATCGTTTTCGCACCACGCATACTTTGATTGATAATGTGCATCCGCAAAGACGTCGTACAGTGCGCACCGAAGAACGTATTGCTGCTGTGGAGCGTAGTGTTGAGGAGGACCCAAATGAGTCGATCCGACATCGTGCACAGCAATTGGAGCTGTGTCCATCCACTCTATGGGAGATTTTGCGGAAAGATCTTGGTTTACGAGCTTACAAGATACAGCTCGTCCAAGAGCTGAAACCGTGTGACCATCATATGCGTCGTACGTTCGGAGAATGGGCCGAAAATAAGATTGTTCTTGATCCTCATTTTTACCAAAAGATTCTGTTCAGCGATGAGGCTCATTTCTGGCTTAATGGATATGTAAACAAACAAAATTGCCGGATTTGGAGCGGAGAAAATCCAGAGGCCATCATTGAGACGCCGTTACATCCAGAAAAACTTACTGTTTGGTGTGCTTTATGGGCTGGTGGAATCATTGGCCCATATTTCTTTAAAGATGATGCCGGCCAGAACGCGACAGTCAATGGAGAACGGTATCGATCCATGATAACTGACTTTTTTGTGCCCCAGTTAAATGGCATCAACGTGAAGGAGCTTTGGTTCCAACAAGACGGCGCAACATGCCATACAGCGCGCGACACAATTAACTTATTGCAGGGAACATTCGATGACCGTATAATTTCGCGCAAGGGACCTGTGAATTGGCCTCCACGGTCGTGTGATCTCACACCTATGGATTATTTTCTGTGGGGATATGTGAAGTCGCTAGTCTACAGTAATAAACCAACAACGTTGGATCTGCTGGAAGCCAACATTCGCCGTGTTATTGCCGATTTACGTCCCCAGGTGCTCGACAAAGTGGTCCAAAATTGGACTTCCAGATTGCCCTTCGTTCGAGCCAGCCGCGGCGCTCATATGCCCCAAATCATCTTTAAACACTAATGGCATTAAATTAGCTTTCTAATAAAGTCAATATCATAGCCGTTAATATGATTTTTATGAGTTTCATTCCAGTTCAAAGTTCTATACCTCTAAAAAAAACACCCTTTATAATCAAACATTCAAAAATTAAAACTAAACCTAATTCTAGAACTCAGATGGTAAAACACATACGCGGCTAACAGCGCGACTAATAACACCACCGTTAACTTTAAGTTCAACGACACGATTAATGTTATCCTTTCCCGGATGTAGGGACAGGACTCTTCCCAATTGCCAATTCATAGGTGGTATATTGTCGTTTTTTACCAAAACCAACGAACCAATTTTTAACAAATCTTGGGCATTTTGCTTCCATTTATTTCTTGTTTGTAATTCTGACAAGTATTCTTTTTGCCAACGCTGCCAGTAATGTTGAGACATAGCCTGAAGGTGTTGCCATCTGGTTAGACGATTGACAGGAACATCCGTTAAATCAACTTCTGGAAGATTTGTAAGAGGTCTACCCACCAAAAAATGTCCAGGTGTTAATGCCGAAATATCGTCCGGATCTTGAGTAAGTGCACACAGTGGACGCGAGTTTAATATACATTCAATCTGAGTCAACACCGTGGCAAACTCTTCAAATGTCAATCGAATTTCACCCACAACTCGTTTAATATGGTATTTTGCCGACTTTATCCCCGCTTCCCATAATCCACCGAAATTAGGTGATGAAGCCGGGATAAAGTGCCATTTAATATAGTCAAGAGATAAATTATCGCTGATTTGAGAAGTATTATTTTTCAAAAACTCATAGACTTTTTGAAGCTCAGTATTAGCGCCTCTATAGTTGGTTCCATTATCAGAGTAAATATTTAATGGTTTACCACGTCTACTAACAAATCTATGAAATGCTGCTAAAAATGCCTCCGTGGTTAGTCCAGACACCAGTTCGATATGTATGGCCTTTGTGCTCATACATACAAAAAGACACATGTAAGCCTTAATTAACTTCGCACCACGAGTTTGCCTATCCTTAATTAGGAAAGGACCTCCAAAATCAGTGCCAACATTTGCAAAAACATGATTAGGAGTTATACGAATTTCTGGCAAGTTACCCATTAAATAACTTTTTTGATCTCTTGGAGCAACACGAAAACACTTATAACAAGTTCTAACAACATTCTTACAGGCATTTCTGCCATTAATAGGCCAATATTTTTCTCGAACAGAATAGAGCAAATTTTGAACACCACAGTGTAATAATCTTTCATGTTCATTTTTTAGAATCTGTTTCGTTAAGAAATGACTATCTGGTAGCACGATAGGATGCTTACCTTCAAATGATTTGTTTGAATTTTCCAACCTACCCCCAACCCTGATTATTTTGTCCTTCAAAAATGGATTAAGAGAAAGTATTTTGCTTGTTTTATCTATGGGTTTATTTTTACTCAAATTAGCATATTCTTGAGGAAAGCATTCTATCTGAACATGCCTAATAATATTATTTAAAGCATTATTTAACTCTTCTGGAAGCAAAGGGCCGATATTTCTATCGTCTTTTTTAAGTTAACTGTTAGTTAAATATCTGAAAATATAGGCTATTACTCTTATTGTTTTTCTGAATGCCGAAAACTTTTTTAGAATCCAAATTATATCATTACTATAATTTATCGATAAATTACACAAAGTTTTTGGTTCACAAATTTCTGTAATTTCCATTTCTGGCTGACTAAGATTCCATTCTGACGCATTCAACAAAAACCACTCTGGGCCATACCACCACAAACTCGAATTCATTAAAGCTTCAATAGAAATGCCTCTACTTAGAAGATCGGCTGGATTTTCATTAGATCTAACATGATGCCAGTCTTCAAAATTTGTAAGTGACCTGATTTCGCTAACTCTATTTGCAACAAATGTTTTCCATTTGCTGCGTTCATTTCTGATCCAACAAAGTGTAATTGTGGAATCAGTCCAAAAATAAAATTTATTAAATTCCAAATTTAAAACACTTATTATTTTTTCTATCAAGTTCGCGAGTAGTACGGCACCACAGAGTTCTAGTCGAGGTAAACTTAATTGTTTTAACGGTGCCACACGTGATTTGGCACATAGTAAATTAGAAAAGTA